TACAGTCGTTCATGTTTATTGGATGAAAGTTAGTTTCAGCTGCCACTCAGGCCTCGGCTCAGTTTGAAGAAAATATTCAGTCAATCAAGATTTTTGTTTTGTTTTGCACATCAGGTGAGTTTTGTTGAGGTTCAAGCACCTTCAGCATCACTGCTACAGTAACAGTCATGTGATTAAAGGTTATAAACGGACAAAAACAAGCAACACTGACTCTTTGTGTGAAACTGGAAATAAACAACAACTTCAAGTCCAGTCCAGTGTTTTGTCTGCCCAACTACCCACCCCAAACTCCTCATAATCACCCATTTCTTTCATTTTCTGTTCCCTTCACACCCTCTGCAGGTAAAGAAACATCATTAAAGAAAAAAGAGGTGGATACGGGCTTTAAAGCAGCGTCTAAGCCTCATAAAGGCACCAAGCAGGATGGACAGATATAATTATTGAAAGTACAAAAATATGTTTATGCTCTTAACCATAAGAAAAAGCAAGTCCAACATAATAAGAGCCGTGATCAGTCCATGAATTATTATCATGGTGAGCTGAGAGAGCCAGAATCAGCGTGAAGGCGACAGATGGGGCCATGACAAGGTCATCCATTCGGCTCAGTGGCACCAAAAACTGAACTTGGCAAGATTTTTGTGTAAACAGTTGTTTTGGGCCAAAAATGACAAAACAGAGCAGAGAGAGGTGATGTGGATTCTTTCCTTGGTCCAAATTCAAATCTGCTTAGTTTTGAGTCTGAAAGTCAGCTGATCAGAGTGTGGCTGAGAGCAACCACCCAGCAGGAGACCATTAAATATGAGTTTATCAAACAGGGAACTTTAAAAACCTTTTGAACAAAAAGAGCTTCCCATGACTGGCAGATGTGACAAACCAAGCAGCTACAACCTAAATTTACCAGCTCCCTGGCTCATGTCGGCCGTTAAATCCCCTTTTACTCGTAGCCATAAATACAGCTCATTGTCCTGGTGGGATTGTGTTGGCAGCACGCCGTTCGCCGTGGCCGTAAATAGCCTCAGAACCAGCATCTTATGTAATTTCCTACTAAACCTCTCTTTGAAATACGCCGCCTTACGTAACTGTCCTACAACACCGGGCCTCATTTACATAATTGTATAGCGATAAACTCATTGCGCTAATCTATGGCCCAGAGTGTGTCCCCTCATTTACATATATGCAAATGAGCCTCACGTGTCTACAATTCCTCAAAATATGGCAGGACTTTGATTTCTTCTGTCTGTTTTTTTAATGTGTGTTTGTGAGCATGTATTCATATGTTTGTGGGGACCAAAATCCTGGTCCCCACAAGTTCAAAAGTATTTTTGAGGCTCAGTTTTGTTCTGCTGTCTGCCCCCACAACAGATAAACTTCAGCTGTCAGATTCAGCTCTGTGTTATAAATCTGTGATTTGGACGATGATGATCATGGATGGTTAATCATCCAACATGTCGTTCACGTTATGGCCCAGAGATGCTACGTTACAAATGAAAAGTGAATGCAGTGTTGGGCGAGTCTCACGCCACCCCCCTTCTCTTTATATTACAGAAAATATATTTATTGAAATGTATGAAAACATAAACTAAAACAAAGCAAAAGAAAAAAGAAAGAAAAGGAAAACAGTGACGCTGTTATCAGTCAGCTGCTTTCCAGATAAATCTGATGGCGTCGTCTGCGTTCCAGCAGTTTCGAAGGATCTCCAACATCAGCGATTAAAAAGCCAAACATGGCAGAGCCTCCAGCGTGTTCACAGATGGCTGCAGACTCCGACTGCTGACCTCCTCCTGACCGTGGGTCCATCTCTCCATCAGACCGGTTCCTCTGGTCTTCAGTCCAGTTTCATACCTCTCCCTTCGTTAAGCACGGCTTCCTGACAGCCGTCCTTCACTGAGACCATTTCTGCTGAGACTTCAGAGAACAGCAGACGATCAGCCGAAGGTCCCGATCGTCTCTCTGCTCTCGTCTCAGCTCTTTGCTGGATTGTTTTCCTGTTTCTTTCAGACGCTGTTCATTTGTTGCAGACAGTTTTTTAGACGTTACACTTCTTTTGCCCAGCTTCCTCAGAATTTCTAACAGCTCTTTTGTTTGCGCAGAAATATTCTTTCATGCTGTCAAACTGTGTTTTCTTTGAGATTTTTTATAGATTCAACTAAAGAAATTGTTCAAAAATGTGTTGTGTGCCAGGCTGCTGGTAACAAGGTGTCTAAAGATACTTTTTAGACCTGGTTCTTTGCTCAGTCCTCTGCGATGTTTAGACAACCTTGTTCGTTGGGAGCCCTTCATGCTTGAACGATTCATACGTCTGCGTTATCGTTCCTGTGAAAAAGCAGCTGGTGTCCAAAGGAAAACTCTGACAGGTCTCCAGAAGGAAAACTGTTGCTCAGGAGCACTTTAAGACAGCGGTCCCCAACCCCCGGGTCTCAGACCGGTACCGGTCCGTGAGTCGTTTGGTACCGGGCCGCGAGAGTTGAGGCTCAGGTGTGAAATGTCTGGTTTTCAGGGTTTTTATCGGTTTTCAGCGTTAGTTTGTTATCGTTTTTATCGTTAACTCGGTTTTCCCGGTCTTTCCACGTGTGTTGTGAATAAATCTTCTTTTTTTCGATACCAGTACTAGTTTTATTTTGTTGTATTTATCTTAAAGGCCGGTCCATGAAAATATTGTCGGACATAAACCGGTCCGTGGCGCAAAAAAGGTTGGAGACCGCTGCTTTAAGACATTACCAGACATTTGGCTCCTTGGAAGGTTTGACTCAAGACTTTTGCACGGCTAACTGTCTCTCCCTTTGTAATCTCACTGATAACAAAATCAGACAGGAAATAGTTTGTTAGCTTGCCAAACCAGCAGTTAACACGATCCATGATGCTAACTCATCTCTCCAGCCTGATATCAAAGCCTCACATGACATGGTCACCTAACGGTAATCTGTCTTCTTAGACATGAACATCACATCTCATCTCCATCACCCACACCTTCAACCTTCAAATGTGGACTTTTCAGCTCTTTACAAGTAGAAAATGTTCATCTTGTATACACTGACACGAATTATGAACACGTGAGACCAGAGAGATGAAAATTTGCTTTCAGAAACATGAATCAGATGTTTGAAGGTCGTGACTGTTTCACAGAGCGCTGTGACATCAGCCTGCAGAGACTCGAAGAGCACAGTCTGAGGTACGTCACATGCAGGCTCTGTTAGCTGTCAGATGTGTTTCATTTACAATGTAAGGGCCTCCACGGTCACTCATAATGGTTTTCTGGACTTACACCAGGCTCGTTTCAGGCTGGCTCAGACGCACGATGGATATCTGGGTCAGTTTTAGGAAAGAAAACAGCAAAAAAAGAAGAAAATATATAAGAAGAAAGTTTTAAAATAAGCATGTTTTTGATCATCTCAACATCTCACATTTCCTTCTGTCTGAACACTGGCACCAAAACATTATCTTGCAAATATAAAGACATTTTTTTGTCAGGTTTTGAAATGTCTGCCTTTTTTTGTCCTCACTGCTGAGGAAACGGCCGTATGTGCAGGCAGCTCATTACGACTGTAGTTACTGTGCAAACTCAGAGAGTGACATGAAGACGTATATCACACGGACAAAAGAAAGGAAAGAAAACATCAGTTCATAAAGGACTGCGAGTTTTTTCCATGGTGATGTTGTCACTGCGCGAGTGCTGAACAAACACCTTCCCCTCTGCACATAAAACGCACAAAGGTGTTGTGCCTCCGCCTGGGCATGTTTTCACACAGGGGTCAGGACGGCGCCGGGAAATGAGGCGAGGCCGGCAACACGGGCTTCACTTTTCCTTTTGTGGCCTTTGAATGTTTTTAATTTCAACAGTTATGTACAAAAAGACCAAAAGCTATAATTAAACTACACAAAACACTGAAAAATGAATAATTATCTGAAAACAGCCTCAAATCTGGTGAAACTGCTGGTTCAGGTGGACGCTCACATCTCCATCCTGGAACGTTTCAATCCTGATCATGAAGCAGCTTCATGAGACACAAACACCACAAAACATAAAACCAACACTTCAGAAAGCAGCACGTGTTTGTGCTCGAGTTTTCCTCACAGTCACAGATATTCATGGATTTTAATAACAGCTGATTTGTCTTCAGTAGGGATCTGTTACCACGGCAACCCAGAAAACAGGGCTTTAAAAAACTCTTTGAACCGAAAACACAAATGTTTTCTGAGCTTTCTGCTGGTTAAAACTTACAAAGTTTTCAGGGCTTGACTTTAACTTTATATAATTAATAGCAAGATTAAAATAGTCTGTAGCAGTCAGCTGTGTGAGGAAGTCGAACTGAGCTCTCCAGGGTTCAAAGGTCGACTTTTTCATCCACTAACAGTGCAAAAACTAAACATTGTGTACATGGATGTGTTTTAAAACACACGTGAAGTGTTGTGGCTGAGCTGGAGAGGAGCAGGTGCCCGTAAGCACAAGTGTTGTGTTGTTTTCATCATAAACGTGTTGCTGTGTGTGACTGTGTTTCAGGTTTTGCTTAAAGACTAAATGTGGTTCAGTGTCGGTGCTTTGGCAGCTCAGGTAAGCACAACAATACCTGAATAAGGTTTATAATTAACGCTGCGATTATAAATGCTGCATCATCACATGTGAGGCCTTGGAAAGTGTGTCTGCTCATTAAAAATTAAGCTGCGTGTTTACAGTTGTGAGCTAGATGGTTTCTGAGTTTTATTGCTTTATGGTTTGATTACAAATTGAAAGCAGGCCAGACTGACGTGGCCACGTCCCATTCCGAACTCGGAGCACGTCTATGCGTCCTTGACAGACACCTGTGGACCGAGGCAATCCTCAGACAGACTAAACACGAGTGAAATAAAGAGCGAAAAGCACAAAAGCTTCACGAGGACGTGAAAGGTCGTGGTTTTCTGAGTAAGGAGGCGAACGAGGACAGATCAGAGGAAGGTTTGGCACAGAAATAGGACCCAGGAAACCAAAATAGGACGAGCTATTGCAGCGTGATGCAGGTGACCTGCAGCAGGTGTTTTTGTGTGCGTGCGTGCAGACAGGTCTGTGGAGGGGGCGTGGCTTATAAACTACCTGCAGCAGGTAAGGTTCGGGTTACCTGCAGCGCTCCAGTCTCTGCTCCGCTTTGGAAGAACATAATTCAGTGTTTGCTGATGAGTTTGTTCACTTATCGCTCAGCCGGTCAGGAGCCCAGAGTCGCAGAGCGGAGATCATCCACCCGCAGGTGAGTCGGTCATTACTCACACCTGCGGCCTCTGCACAGCGTCTCCTCACAGCCTGAGCTTGTTGGCTGGTTGGTTTCTGGTTGTTTGTTTCTGGCTGTGTGTCGCGTGAGAGCAGACTTCAGTAATCACTTCCAGCGAAACTCCATCAACGCTCGTGTTGTTTTCAGGAAACATGCGAGACTGTGATGTGTAATTCATACCTGCGTAAGAACTGGTTTTGTGCACGCGCGTGTTGTTGGATGCAGGGCTGCTGGGAGTGTGTCCGGTGTCCGGTGTGCTCTCCCGACACGAGTTTGCGGAGGTGCGTGCGTGAGTGTTTGGTGTGCAAATGGTCCTGTTGCCTTGGTTACAGTGACATCACGCATGCTGCTGGGGTCACTTCAGCTTCACACGCACTTAATTTAAATGTGCATACATATTTTTAAATCTAGTAAATGCTTTGTTATTGGCGGCGTCTGCGGAGTCCGCTTCATGATCCAGCAGCGCCGTCATGTTTGCGTCACTTAACCTAATATTGACTTAAACTAACACCAACCTGTGCAAACCACCTGAGGACAAAACCAACACTGATACGGGATTTTGAAAACAAACTCTACACATCCTTAAAACTTGTAAAAACATTACATATGAACTATACGTATGTTATATTTAGTGGATGGTAAGAAGTTTGTGAGCGTCGGGCGGCAGCAGCATGTCGAACAGCCGCTCACCGTCTGTTTCTGCGCCGTTTTAACCAAAACTGGATCCAAACTGGAGGTTTTGGTGCCGTTAGCTCGGCTCTGTTTCACGCTAACTGGACTTTAGATCAAAGGAAAGTTTGGCTATTGGAAGTTTTTTGTGCTGCACGCTTTTATGAGTTTGAGCAAACATAAAGGAGGAAGAACATAAAATGGAAACGCTGTGATAGATGGTTACTCTTGTTCTGCCAACCATTCATTAACCAAGTACATTGTCATTTAAATGTTGCACTGAAAGTACAAAGAGCATGAATTTGCTTACTTTACTGCAATAATATGATCGACTTCAGTTGCTGCTGCCTTTGGAAGCCACTTTGAACCCCCCGCCCCAGCTCTTTCATGCTATCTCTAAAAAGGGCCATAAACGAGAGTCTGCAGCACTGTGACATACTGCAAAACAATCTTAAAGAACTTCCCACTGTTACTCCTGACACGTGATGACTGAAAATATTCAGATTAATGAGTTTAATGTTATCATCTTCTTAATCTAAAAAAGTCAAACTGATTTAAAAACCTCCCAAATCAGAAGATTTGCTACATTTTAGTTTTATATCACTTTGAACTTGTTATCTTTAGCTGACCAAAGCACCCTGGACTCCAGCTTTAAATCCAAACATTAAGCTTTCTATAAATTTCGATAAGTTGTCTTCTCTCTCCCATGTTTTGCACAGTAAAGTATTATCAACAGGTCTTGATCCACTCCAAACATAAGTGTACGTTCAGGCGCACCCTCGGCTCCTCCGGTCTGTGTTGACTGGTTCGCTGCAGGAATGTGTGGCTGTGGTTGAACAGCTTCTCCACCCAGCGACAGCAGAAAAATACTCATACCTACTGTGGGCGTCCGACAGCAGGCTGATCCTCCGCCACGCCTGAGCTAAGAAACAATTAGATGCACGTTTGTCGGTCTCTGAATTTTTCCACCAACCGAACAAACACAAGCCCGTCTGACACCACAGGGCAGCAAACACTAGAGTTTATCTACCCAAAATGAGTAATCAGTTAAAGGAGGTTTGCTTTGTGATTAAAGATTTAATCTTGCAGTCCGGATTTAAGACCTGACATTATGCCTCAACACTGAGCGTGCCAGCTGGTCTTAGACATGAGTTTAGGGTCAGCTTGATGACTTCAACCCATCTCAGATCTAAAAGTTGGCTTTTCTAGGTTTTCCTCCTTTGCCTGGTTCATTTTTTTTCTTCCAGGTTTTGTCAGATTACAGCATCTTTATTTTCTAAGTTTTCGAACATTTCATTGTTTAAATGTTTAATCAACAAGTCGTGTAAAAGACTGGTGACCCGTCCAGAGCGTACCCTGCCTCTCGCCTTACGGCAGCTGGGATGTTGACGGCCCAAATCGTAGACGTGGACAGCAGGCAGGATTCAATAATAGGTGAGCTGCTTATTTACAAGGGACAAAACAAAGTCCAAACTAATGAACCACAAGTTGTACGTGCAGACACTCTGACAAAGGCCAACGACTGCACAGAAAAGCAACCAGACACACTGCTGGATGATACTACAGCAGGGTGGGCAACTCCAGGCCTCGAGGGCCGGTGTCCTGCAGGTTTAGATGTGTCCTTGATCCATCACAGCTGATTTAAATGACTAAATCACCTCCTCAACATGTCTTGAAGTTCTCCAGAGGCCTGGTAATGAACTAATCATGTGATTCGGGTGTGTAGACCCAGGGTGAGATCTAAAACCTGCAGGACACCGGCCCTCGAGGCCTGGAGTTCCTCACCCTGCTCTAGAGATAAATAACCACCAGAATAAAACAGGAAGTGAGAAATGATAACTAAACGGCGAAACGCAAAGACATTTACTTGAGACCAGGGACTCGAGAGGATGGAACAAGAAACTCTAAAGTATAAACTAAACGCTAATACAACCAGGAACAGAGAACTCTAAACTCGGTACACTAAAGAAATGCACGAAGCACCAACTCCGGGTCAAAGGCCGAGCACCGTGACTGCTACAGCATGACTAATTTCTCCCTTTCTGATTGTTGGTGGATGCTCACAAAACAAGGATTCGCTGTTCTCCAGGTGTGCGCTACGGTTTTCTTTCACCTTGCAGAGTTAAAAATGTTTGACTTGAGGTTTTGCTGTTCGGTAAAGTCTGGCGAGCGTCAGCTGAGCTGCGAGCTATGACTCAGTCACCACGAGCTAAACCCTTCACGGCTCCGATGATGCCCGGGTGTCTGTTTGGCAATTACTTTGAGTCAATGTCAATTTGATCGGTTTAAAGTCCGACATTAAACAAATACCTGGAAGAAGTGAGGCGCCACCTGCTCTGCTAATGTGCTGCCAGAGTGGGCATCGGGTCGATACTGCGTCCTTGTACAACCTCGAGCCTGAGCGCGTGCAGCTGTGTCAGGTTTAAGATTCTCAGGTTGTATGTTTTGGTCACATGTTAGTGCCGCTGATTCTTATTGAAAAGCTCTGTAGTTTAAACCTGATGGCTGCAGACTTGCGTTATACGGCTGTCCCATGTACGATGTCATTGATGTCACTGTGGATAACTAACCAATCCCTCACCTTATTAGATGAGGAGCTAGATCTGACCGTGCAGGCTTAAATTAGCTGTTAAATGTACTCGGTTGGCTGCTGTATGAACTCTGAGGGGAAGGTGACCGTGTCGCAGAGCACAGGTGAGGTCACCTGCAGCTTTTAATTGTGTGACAGATCACATGACTGTCTACAGTTTCACTTCAGCCTGAGGTGTTCAACGGTGATTGGACCTGATGGAGTTACTGGAGAGATCCGCCTGACCCTGAAGCTCCAGTGTTTGTCGCTTTGAAATTTAAAAGTGAAGTTATTTGATCTTTAAAGGAAACTTCTTGTATTTAAGATAATTTTGAAAGCTTGCAAATGTGACTGTCAGCAGAATTTGAAGAGACATTTTTGACTTTATCTCCAAAAACGTCCCAGCAAGCACACTTGAAACGAAGCTGCTGTCTCTCACCTCCAACATCATTCTGAATAAAAACCTGTGAGAGGAGTCTGACGGCAGCTGGTCAGTGCTGAGATGTTTGCTGGGTCTGGGCTGTGTTGACCGCAGTTCTACTGAAGTACTTTTTTGTACTAAACATGGGCCAAAGACCTGGCAGGTCATTTTAGAAGGGATCTGCTCTGATCCCCTTCTTGTTTGCAGTGGTGACAGACTGACAGATGGGGTCAGGCAGGAGTGTCTGTGGAGCTGGCGAGCCGTAGTGAGAGTGGGGAGCAGGTGGGAAAGAGCCTGGAGAGGTGAAGGAATGCTTTGGAGAGAAGAATGGAAGTCAGAAGACCCAAGATAGAACACGTGTGAGTGAGATGGAGACGTGCAGTGTGATAGTGAAGGTAGACGAGTTTAAATACCTGGATTAACAATGCACGTGAGTGGTGAAGAGATTCCAGGCAGGGTGGAGTGGGTGAAGACGAAACAAAGACGATATGGTGGGTAGTGTCTGAGGAGCTGGAGGCTGAGCTGGAGGCAGCAGAGATGAAGCTCAGGTTGAGTGGTTTGGAGACAAAGTTAAAGAGGTACGGCTGAAACGTGGACTTGCAGAGGAGAGTGGCTTTGTTGGACGAAGTACTATAGACGTGTAACGGTCTGTACGAGCTAGCAGCTAGCTGTGAAGCTGACGTGAATTCTCCAGAACACAGCGTGTTCTTCCTGTATTTACTTTTGTTGCTCCGCCCCAGACACATCTGGCCAATAAGCAGACTGAACATTGTCACGTGGTTTCAGTGACATTTCGGTTCGCTTGGAGTTTTCTTGAATTTTTCTCAAATCACGAGAAAAGTTTGCAAACTCAGAGTAAATGACCTACAGCCGTGAAAACGCCCGAGTGACTTCTTACTGCTGCAGAGCTGCTCTGCCATTTTAATCCAGAGGTCTGGATTTAAGAGGAGGGAGTCACTTTGATATTTAAGACAAAAAGCAGCATTTTTCCTCTTTGTGAAGCTGCAGCAAACAGCAGATTTGTCTTTATGAAATCATTCACCAAACAATCATCTCATGGTTTCAGCTCCAAACAAACACTTCTGGGTCTTCGAGTCGAGTGTTTTGTTTGGAAGGAATGTGTGTGGATGATGATGCTGATTACCGATGTTTGCTGTCTGGAACAGTCGGTGCATTTCTTTGAGCCCTGAGATCAACCTGCTTAGGAAAAGCCAAAATACTGAACCTGAAGGAGAGGAAAACCACAGGAAGGGTAAGCGGAGCAGGCTCCGAGTTGATGAGCGTTTTCTAATGTGTTTCATTAGAGCAGCCGAGGCTGCT